CCAACTAAGCTCTAAGCTTGTGCTATGATATGGTATTCGAACCCTCGACCGCAAGATCGGTAGTCCGTACCCCAAACCATTAGGCTACTGGCTGTCAATGTGATGTTTAATGTCGACGATTGCATAGTGTATTTTTGCTTTTTGCATAATATTGTATGTGTAGGTGTCCTAATGGGCATCGCGATCCGCACGGGGTCTCCGCTGGCGCTGTCGCTGGCGGAGGGCGTGTGGCGGCAGCTGGCGGGGCAGCCGCTGCGCCCGCAGGACCTCGCGGAGGTCGACAAGGACTTCCTGCCCGCCCTACTCTGCATACGAGACATGACCCCCGCCAACAAGGTACATACGTAACGAATATGATCAACTAGTTTTAACCGCAACTACGACCGCGTGGAATTGAAAAATAATGAAGTAATCTATGTGTTCTTCCAGTTTGCTATGTCGGATGTCAGCAATCACAGTATACGTTTTAATAATCGTTTATTTTAATAAAACAGCCCTTCACTTGCGACACGCTATCAGCTTTATATTTCCTCGCTATGTAAGTAAGACGTGGATAAATTAGAATAAATCGTCATACGGGAAAGCAAAAAAGAAGCAAGGTACAAAGTCAAAGGTCATTGTCATTTGTGGTAATTGAAAGATTCACACATGTAATAAAATAAGGAAAGTAATTATAATTTAAAGCAGATAAACACACGGGTACATCTAGTAATAAATAAATACGATAGGAGCTGCAAAACTTGGAGCTGCCTTTCTCTATACCGTCTGCGGCGGGGCACGAGGTGCCGCTGTCGACGCGGCACAAGCGCGTCACACCGGACAACAAGGACGAGTATGTGCAGCTGGCTTTACATTACAGGTATGAATTAATCGCAGTATTAAAACTTCTTCCTGACTTTCCTCTACGTCTATGCCAAATTTCATCGATATTCGTTCAGCCGTTTAGGTTACAAACTCTAACAAACATCCATCCATCTAAACTTTTGCATTTATAATATTAGTAAGATTAATTTCGTTACTTATCTCCTTTGTAAATTTTTCTACTACAATGAACATGACAGATTGTTTTCATATAGTTTATAACCGTGTGTTCTTACAGACTGCACGAGTTCGACGAGCAGGTGGTGGCGGTGCGCGACGGCATGTCTCGTGTGATCCCCTCCCCGCTGCTGGCGCTCTTCACCGCCGCCGAGCTGGAGACGCTCGTGTGCGGCTCCCCAGACATACCCGTGCAGGCGCTCAGAGCCTCCGCCACATATAAAGGTACCATCAATGAGTTGTTTTCATTATTTTGTGAAATATTTTGTTGCAGATTTTATGGAATTAATAAAGAATTTTAAAATTGAAACTGTATCCGAGCCTCATACTCAACTCATCATAAAAGGATTTATTCATGTAAAAATTTTTAAAATTGATTTTATACTAGTTTTTTAATTCACTTATAATCATTAAACAAACAGTGGATTTATTTACTTATTTAAAAAAAAATGTAGATTTAGATTTTTTTAATTTAGCATTTGGCGGGGTCGCATATATTCTTTTGTGTGCATCATAACATAAATAAAGACAGCGGTCACTTGGAAGTTTTAGCGAATTCCAATACATATTTATCATTTGCCACCTTCTACTAGTAACACTAAAATATAAGCTGATCATTATAAAAACTTTTAACAATTGTGAATCTGGTAAACTAGATATATTTTTTGCTATTTCCTTAATTTGGTATATGTGTTGCAGGCATAGAGGCGAACGCGCCGCTGGTGCAGTGGTTCTGGGAGGTGATGGAGGAGCTGTCGGGCGGCGAGCGCGCGCTCTTCCTGCGCTTCGTGTGGGGCCGCACGCGGCTGCCGCGCGCGCCGCAGGACCCCAGACAGAGGGACTTCGTACTACAAGTACCTGCTACATTACATCATAAAACTTAAGCACGGTTCACACTTGCCCAATACAGTTGAACAGTACCACTCTATAACTAGACAGAGATGGCGGACAGTTATGCATGGAAATATGCAAACAAAAATGTTTAATACGGTCTTAGACACCTGTAATCGAATAATTCTGAACGTTATTATAACGTTAATTCCATGGTGCTTCTACTTCATAATCTTTTTGAAGTGATTTTATGGTTATCAACGTGCCCAAAATTTGTTGTGTGCCATTTATAGCACGCGTGCCTGTGGTTCGCTACCCCTCAACTAGACTGGCAATCAACTAACACAATGTGAACGGTAACTGGCACCAGTGAGTCCATCTATTACTGGCCGTCGCAACTGTCCAACTGTATTATTATAGCGTGAACCGGGCTTTATAATTTCATATTGAAAAGATTAATATTTAATGTTTTTTTTAATCTTTAATTTGTATTTTTGACCAGGTTTTAGACAAGTACCAGCCTCCTGACCACTTCTTGCCGGAGAGTTACACATGTTTCTTCCTTCTCAAGATGCCAAGATACTCTTGTAAGGCGGTTCTACGGGAGAAATTAAGGTATCAATTTATTTTTATTACTAAAGATGGACATATCCTATGCCTTTACAGAATGGAAGTTATTAAAAATGTATTAATCTTACTAATGTTATGAATGCGTGGATGTTTGTTAGAATTTGTAATCTAAACTGCTGATCGTTTCTCGATGAAATTTTGCGTAGACGTCAATTCTAGAAGAACACATAGGCTT